CCTCTGAGGGCACCCCCGTCTGCCACCCCTGCGGCCCCGGCACACGCAGCAACCAGGTGACCGTCACCGCCATCCGCGGGGTTGGAGGGTCATGGGTGATGTCCCCACGGGCGGTGGCAGTTCCACCCCGGGTGATGCTGGGATTCTAGGGGGTGACACCGGTTCCCCTCCCACAAGATGTCCCAAAAGGGTGGCACCAGCCCTCCCCCATCCCGGGTGGGTGACACCAGTCCCCTTGACCATCCTGGGTGGGTGACACTGGATGGGTGGTACCAATCCCCAGTTGTCCCCAGGGAGGTGACACCAGTCCCGCTGGCCATCCTGGGTGGGTGACAGTGTCTGACCTGGATGGGTGACACCAGACCCTTTGACCATCCTGGGTGGGTGACACTTGGTGGGTGATGCCAGCCCCACAGCTGTCCCCAAGGAGGTGACACCAGCCCCCCTGGCCATCCTGGACAGGTGACAGGTGACATTGCCTGATCTGGATGGGTGACACCACCCCGACTGTCCCTGATGGGCAATGCCAGCTCTCCACTGTCCCCAGGGGGATAACCCTAGCTGTCCCCAATGGGTGACATTCCCAGTCCTGGGGGTGCCACCAGCCCTGTCCCTGACCCCCTCTGTCCCCCCAGCTGCGCTCCCTGTGCTACAGCGACTGCAGGCTCTCGGTGCCGCTGCGGGGCCACATCCTGCGCTACAACTTCTCAGCGCTGGCCCCCGGCGCCACCCTCGCCGTCGGCCCCAGCTTCACCGCCAAGGGCCTCAAGTACTTCCACTACTTCAGCATCAGCCTCTGCGGCAACCAGGTGAGCCTGGGGGGCTACCCCAGCACCCGCCACCCCCTGGGGACAAGGGGATGGGGCTGGGGTCTTCCTGGAGCCATGGGGACAGGCAGGGGTGTGTGTGTGGTGACGGGAACACGTGTGGGCATGCACATATAGTGCAAACATGTGTGTGGGGATGCATATGTAGTGCTAACACACATGTGTGTGCTCATATATAGTGCAAACAAGTGTGGGCATGCAAATATAGTGCTAATGTGCATGTGTGTATTCATATATAGTGCAAATACACATGTGGGCATGCATATATGTAGTGGAAAGGTGTGTGTGTGCAGGCATAGGTAGTGCAGTCACGTAGGAGCGTGTATATGTAGCACAAACGCGTATGTGCATGTGTGTGCAATGGAAACGTGTGTGGCCATGCATATGTAGTGGAAACACGTGTGTGCATGCATATGTAACGCACACATGCACGTGCGTGCATATATAGCGTGGGCATGCATATGTAGTGTCAACACACGTGTGGGGTCATGCAAACATGCACTTACATGCACAGTCGTGCAGATGCATGCAGTAGTGCAAATGCAGGTGTACACGCAGTCACATGTGCACACACGCACAGGCAGTGCATATATAGTGTGGGCATGCATATGTAGTGTCAACACACGTGTGGGGTCATGCAAACATGCACTTACATGCACAGTCGTGCAGATGCATGCATGCAGTAGTGCAAATGCAGGTGTACACGACACACAAACACATGCACTCGGTCTTGCAAACACACGTACGTGGTCATGCACACACGTGTTGTCATGCAAACGCATGCATGCAGCTGTGCAAACACGGGTGTACATGCAGTCATACACGCACACGTGTATGGTCACGCAACCACACGTGCAAACACGCACTTGCACACCCGTGCAAACACGCGAGCACCCCTGCAGCCACGCAGACATGCACACGGGTGTTGTGGTGCACGCAGCTGTGCGCACACGGGTGTACGTGTACGTGCACACTCACAAACACCCACGTAGCTGCACCCCGTCACGCACACGCACGCTTACACGCGCACACACACGTGTGCCGTGCCCGCCCTCACCGTGTCGCCGTGCGCAGGGCAGGAAGGTGGCCTCCTGTCGCGACAACGTGACGGCCACCGCCCGCGTGGTGACGTCCCACGCGTGCCAGGCCATCGTGGTACCCCCCGATGTCACCGGCTCCAGG